CAGTAAGATATGTCGAAAATGCTGCTTATCGCTCTCCATATTTAAAAGGGCACCAACCAAAAACTACTGCGTAGAATTAATTGGAATTTTTCACACACAAGCCTTGCTATATGAGCTCTCAAAGCATATAAAAATTATACGGCTTAAATGTGAAGTTGGGTGCAAAAGAATACAATTAAATTCTCTGTCGGGAAAAAACGAAATGGCTTTCCGAACAACCCGATAGAACATCCTACATCCTTAACTGTTTGTGAACAATAATTTAGGTCTAACTCTTCTCCTTTTAGCTCCTGTTTCTAACTTATAATATGTCTCTAATTAGCCGTTCAGCCCTTCTTGTTTAAGAAGGTATCCTGACCAACCTATCACACCTATTTCTTATTGGCTCACATAGTGCTCTCTGTTCGACTATTTGTAATACCTCCTCATTTCTAACCTTCTCTATCCACTCCTTCTTGACTTTAATTTTGTTTATTTTATTACGTGATGATTAATATTGCTGCTCTTTTAATTTCAGGAACGTACTTCAGAAATCACAAGAATTAGGTATTCATTCGTTAGCTCTCTGTGCCATTAATTCGGTTAAAAGGAACTATCCTCCTAACGAAGGGGCCCATATTGCGTTAAGTAAGTAATGTATGAAGTTATCATTTCTTTTTATTTGAGGTATATGACCAATTTGTCATATGATCTATTTATTGAACTCCTTAAATTATTGCAATACAAATTTTAACGGAGTGTAACTTAAGTTCCTTTCTTTATCTTTCTTTTCCTGTTTTATTTTCCGTAAGTTCATCCGCATTCATGGCAACCTTTATGAATTCTAACCTGATCTTTCCAACTTTTTCCTGACATTCCTGTTTCATTACAATTGCAAAATATGTTTCACCGTTTCGTCTCCTTCGTTACACATTCTATGCTATCCAAAAATAATCTTATCCTTGTTTCACATCTCAGTCTAAATCTTGCCATAACTTGTAGACTTTTCATATTTAAATATTCTGATGTCTCCATCCATTCTGAGACAGTCTTTAGTAGTTTCTTCTATATCTGTCCATACACTAGTTTTTTTTGATACCATCTCTAATATGCTCCAAGAAATTCTATTTATTTTCCATTTTCGCATTTCTCTTTCTGAAGTCATTCCTTTTTACAGTTTGTCACTTGACATTCCCTGAATATGTCATTTTTTTTCTTTCCATACCTTACAAATTATTTCTCTTGACCTCTAAACGTAACATATCGCTTCACCAATTTCATCGTCCACTTAATGTATTTATCTTGTCTTTCATATTTCTTCAAGTTTCTTCCAGCGTTAGATTTCTCACTTATACTTTGAAACTCTTTCTACCGGTGCTCCATTTGTCTATGAAGCTTTTTTTATTTCGTTTCCATGTCATGCAAATGTCAATATAGTTTTTTCCACATTTAATTCTAAACAAAACTTTCCGCGTAAACTTCCTGAATCTCCATCATTTCCTTCAAACCATTTCTATTTCCAACTAGTACAACCGCATCATCTGGTGTATGAGACAAACAAAATTTTGTTTTTTCTTATAGAGGATATCCTTGCTGTATATCCTCCTGCTTGTATATTTTGTCTGAAGAGCCTATATTCCACTATTATTTATTCATATGGCTGATTGTAAAGATTTATTGAATACTGAATAGAAAAAGACTGAAATCTTTTTTTTATTTTAGGAACGATACGAAGATTCTTGGAGAAACACGGTAGTGCTTTAGACTTGGTTATTTTTGCATTGGAAGCTTCCGATTATGGTATCTATGAAGTTTTGTTGCCCATGTATTTTCCCCGATCGAAACTCGAAGAGGAAGCTGCGCGATGGCAACTTCCAGCAGACGTTGGTGGACCGTACGGTGAACCTATCATCCCCGATAGACAAATAAGAATTATCGACAATCCTCAGCACGCCTTACATCGTAAGTCCATACTTTATTGAACGCTATTTGATATTATTATCATTATTTGTATATACATACAAGTCCTTCTTATCACAAAATTTGATCATCATCATGTCGTTAGTTCTTCATTCCTTTCTCTCTTGGGGCAATCTTTCATTCCCGAAAACCCTAATATATATGACATATTTAACCAAGTATTTGCTTACAGTATCCTAATGTAGGTCTTTCTTTGCGTTGCATTTTTCCTTTTAGGTTTTTGCTTTTCCTTCTCATTTTCGCGTTTCTTTTTATCTTCGTCGAAATCGAATTTACATAATGAGGATCTTATATAAAAAATAACTGCTGCTGATTTTGATTGAAACATAAATTAATCTCTGAGCAATCCTTATTGGCGTAATCCCTCACCACCTTCTTTCGAGTTCAGAATTTCTATGTGATGTAATCACAACGATTTCGATCAAACCTAAAGGGTTGACATATTTATCAGCAGTGTATATTAAGTACTCCCCTCACAAGTCATAGCTAACTAATACAACATATCGTAAAATTCCAAGAATTTCTTACAACAAAATGTTTTTCGTAATTTCCAACATTTTCCGTAGCGAATAGAGGCATTGGAGCATTAACAGTAGTAAAATACCGTTTTATGAGCAAAAAACTAGGTATCTGTTAATAAAGTTTTCTGTATGCGTTTTTCAGTTGGAGTTAATCTTCCAGATTTGAACTTTTATCTTTACAGCCCAAATCCGTGCAAATACTGTTTTCATCTCACAAGCTTCACAACAGTAACATCAGCACATATTAAAGCGTACAATTCGAAACGCGTAAAATAAATGTTTAAAAGTTAAGAAAAATTTAGTTTAATAATAAAATTACCTACCTACTTACTGAAGTGATAAAAGTGCGAACCAAAAATGGTGAAAAAAATCACATATAGAAAAAATGGCAAACAGAAATACGCTGTTGTAAACGAATGTTTCGAGTGGTCATGTATGTACCTATCTCATTTTCCCAACAAGAAATTTCATCTATCCAAGACATTTGCTAATTGTATTATTGGTTAGTGAAAATATATTTTTGCAGCTGATGACGAGTCAGTCGACTTATCGTCACAACTGGATACAACAGTGTCGATGGGTGATCACGTGTTTAGCCAGATGCAGGGTGACTTGGATCAACAGAGATTACTAGGGGAAAGACCGCTAAATGATCCACTTTCAGACATATTAGTGAAAGAAATACAACACCAAGAAAGGTAAGTGATTTTATACGCTCTATTTTTGAACAAATCTTCACGTATTCCTTTTAACAACATAAGATAACAACATTTGCGAATATGCCAAAAAGTTGTTTGAAAGTCGTCGAAATGCAATGTACTTTAACTTGCTTATTAGAGAAAATTTCGTCCAGCATTCATCTAGAACTTTAACTTATGACAGTTAATTAATCGATTTATTGTTACACATCAGAACGAAAGATTAAAAAAGAAATTGTTTGTAGGTACGTGTAATGAATCAAATGGCTATAAGATTCCTTTAACATTTTTGATCACCTTGTAAATAAATTATGTAGAAATGAATGATTCTTGTTAAATTTGGCAACACCGCGTCGCATGACTACGTCATGTATATGTCTAAAACCTTTGGATTTGTAGGTACACCTATCAATTAACGTAAATTTCTCACATAAAAGAAAACAGTTCTTCTCCTTATTAACTGAAATATTTTTTGTTTAATAAAGATTAATAATAATCTTCTACTTAAAATGTTACGCAAAAGATCGTAAGAAAGTGGTGTTTTCTTGTAAGTTTCAAATAATTCCTTTATGCATTGTTCAAAAGCATCTCATCTCCCAAGATGAAACATAATTATAATTATTAATACTTGTTAACATTTTTAGAAAAACATAATTGTTATTGTTTCCATTAGACTAACTATAAATATTTTACAGGAAATTATTAAAAACTATTTAGTATCTATTAGGTTGAAATTATCCCACAATATAAAAAAATGTAAACCTTGATTTGTTCCTGGGGTAGTGTTCTAGTTTTTAAAATTAGAATTAAAACATTAAGAACAAAATATCGAAGTGAAGAATATCCACTCAAAGTAAGTCTTACTTAATATTTAATAAGTTTTGAAGCGAAAACACAAAATAAATAATAAAATAACAAATTGGAATCACCTACCATTAATATGTAAAACCTCGGAATCCCATACTTGCATTGCTATATCTACCTGGTTGCCAGATCATTCTGATTAATTACATGTAGCAAATTGGAATTTCATTTGTTATTAAATCACTAAAATCAGATATAAACACCATAACATATACTATCCTTAATTGTCCTTTCTTTAAGATATTCAAAATAAGTAAACTTGAATCATTTCAGTAAATATTAAATAAAAAGAACATGATGCACTTCACACGTACTACACTCACTGACGATTACCTGTCAACTGCCAATGCAATTCAAAATTTTCAATAATCATGGCCGATACACATAACCGTCCCATCTATTTCCTAGAGCAAGGGGTTAAAAAATTATTTATTAGATTATTAAACTATTAATATTATAAAATAAATTAATAATAAACCAGCATTTTAATGAGTCAAGATTATGTTTTATTGCTTGTATTATTCTTTAAACTGGTATTTATAAATGTTTCAATATAAGGTCATCTTCAGTGACACAGTAAATACGATGCGAAGAAATATAATTTAAAATTGATAATAACTGTGTCCTTAAAAGTTCGGTAATATCCAGTTTATGTAAGCTACTAGCGACGTATGTACATAAATAATTAAATTAAATGCCACACATTACGATTGCATTAAAAATCTTTTATAAAATAGCAAAAAAGAAATGATTCTATAATAGGTATATATGATTTTTTCTGGATTATAGAATAGTTAAATCAATTCAAAACGTAAAAAAGTTTATAATTTATCTTCAATAAATTTATTAATGTAATTAAGTGTGAGTAACTGAAAAATGGTCTCACTGGTGATAAAATTTATTATGTCAAAATTAAAATCAGGAAGGGGGCAAAAGATCACTAACATTATTTTTATATCACATAATTGATTAAATTTATATTGAGTAAAATAAAAATGTAACCAAACACATTATAGCGTTGTTTTTAAAATTTTTACGAAATCAGTTGACAAATATTTCAATAATTCAAACAGTTCTTGTATAAAATTTGTTAAGTATAATTTTAGTATCACGTTATTGTTCTTATTAAAGCAATGGATATTTGAAGAAAAAATTGTTTTTGGGAGATTTATTGTTCGTTGTAAAGGTAATAAATGAATTAGAAGATATGACTTTCTTCCTCAATTATGATGAAATCTTTGTAAAGAAAAGCGAATGTAAATTTGCATAGTATAATCTTTATTGTCTGTAATAATCGCGATGTATAATTTTTATTATTTAACTTTTTAAACTGTGTATTACACAAAACATCAGTGGATAAGAATTGCCGGGATTTGAGAGGAGATTGAGATTTTTATGAGTGTGAAAAATAGTAGATAGTAAATACCTTTTTCTAACTGTTACAATTTTTATAGTTTTTGTTCGGTTACAAACTTTCCTCTAGTCTAGAATATTTTGCATTTATTGCCGGTGTAAATAAATGCTATTTGGTTTACTATTACAATCGTCAAGGAAAGTTGCAGTTTTTATAGAATGTCGTAAATAACGAACTAACTGTAACCTTTCGCAGTAAGGAAGTAAATTTAGTAAATTCCACTCAAACAAAAAGGATCATTTTGATTTTCTATGCCATTCTGCTCTCCTATGAATTTCGTAATCACTATTTCGATAATCGGTTCTTATTACTTGGCACTTTGTGAGATGCTGCTTTATCATTTGTCATACATGTGTAAATTGCATCGTTATAAATTCAGAATGGCGAACCCCCAAGTTGGTTTTTTCAACCCTCTTCAGATGGGTGTTAAACGAAAGGGTTTAGAGAGTAGAATATGATAAACTAACTGACGGCATTACATATTCGATATTATGATGATGATGTTGATCTACGTTGATAATTCGGATAATTTGGTCACGCACCTCTACTGTTACCTACCCTAACTGAGGCATCTCATATCTCAAAGTATTTGTGAACATTAATCTAATTTGCATCCACGTTTATTTCCATTTTTTGCTTCTAAAATATTTGTAACTAACTCATGAAAATAAGTGTATCATGAAGATTTTCTAATAGTATTTCACGGAATGGATTTTAATTTTTGAATGGTGTCGCTGATTTCCGATATCCAGGATTCAGGAAGTCATGAAGTTAGATAACTTACGATCAAGAAAAAAAAGTTGAAGCGTTCGATATGTAGTATTATATGGAGATGATGAAAATATCGTGCATGGAAATGATTCAAAGAGGTGTTGGTTAGAATAAGTAGAATAGTAAGTCTTCATGATTTAGAATCTGTCTCACCATTTTATCCCTTTATTTTCTTCTTGATGTTCACATTTTCTTCGATTCTACTTATTCCAACCAACACCTCATTTGAACCCTTTCCATGCACGATGTTTTCATGATCTCCTTATAACATTACATGTCGAAAGCTTCAACTTTTTTTTCTTGATCGTAAGTTATCTAACTTCATGACTTCCTGGATCCTGGATATCGGAAATCAGCGACACCATTCAAAAATTAAAATCCATTCCATGAAATACTATCAGAAAATCATCATAATCAATTTTTTTTAATTTTCGTTTGAATTTGTTTTTATGAGAGTCGGATCGTATTGTATTTTAAATCTCCTAAAGGCCACAAATGAATATCAAAAAAACTGTTTTATTACTATGTTATCTACACTTATAGTTACTGTTCAACATAACCACCTTGTTGATTGAGGCATTTGTACCTATGAATTTAAATGAAGCTTCTGGAAGCTTCTCGTTAGTTTAGACGTGGAAAAGACAGGGAATAGATGGAAGATGCTCGACGCTTGGTCGAGGAACCATCCAAAACAAAAAAGTTTTAATTTTAGTTTCGTTTGTGGCCTATGAGGTGTTTAGGAAAAAAATGGCCCTCACATTTAGTAATTAAAACTTTAACATTACCATAATTAGTGAGTCATAGCGTTTCTTGCTGCATTTATGTTTTTTCTGCTGTAACAACTAAGTAGGGCATGCACTGCTTCGTTTATGATTTTAATTACCAATTAATTAGTTACGAACGAGATTGAGAAACGGAAAAGGATAATATGGTGTAAAATTTTGCAAAAATCGAATAGAGAACCTACTTTCTCTAGAACGAATTAAACAGTGTTGCTGGTCAATTCTTTTATTTTTGAGATATTTCAAATCTCAAATATGATCTTATATTTATAGTTTCTTCATGGACTAAATTGTTATGCGTACATCATTACAACCCTTCGACTTGTGAAGAGTTCATGTCTATATTTATTTATAGTTGTATATTACAGTACCAAATTACCAAATTCATTAAAATACATTTTCCATGTTTGAATCGATACAATTGTTCATTTGTATTGGATTTATTTTGAATTAAAAAAAATTAAAAACAATTGGAAATAATAATAGACAAAATATAGTTATTTACATATATTTGAATATATCTACAAAAATTATTTATTTATTCATTTTTATGATTGCTCAGGGGATTCTCAGCTTATTTAACATATGAGTTTTTTTAGCTTATTTGGTATTTTGTCGTTTCTTGAATAAAACCGTACAACGTCCGAACGTTCTAAGAGATGTAATAGGATATTTATAAAAGAATAATGGACAATATTAATTACAGATTTGAGCTTAATTGTACGGAACGTGGAGTTCCCATTGTTTTTTATAACCGTTTGTTTTACTTACAAGGAAACATTACTACATACATACATATGTGTAAATCCATTTATTTATTTTTTTTGCTCAGAATTTAAATTAAGTATTTGCATATATGTACTATTTACATCATTTTCTTGTATGGACAATAATTTAGGTATTTTATAATACATGCAAATATAGCATATCAACAGCGAAAGCAATAAGTTTTGCCGTAAAAATTGTAAAGAATTGGCTATTTAAGACTAAAAGCAAAGCAATTACTTCTCTAAATTAATATTTCATGAAAAGTACCACATCACTAACTAATTGAGGTCTTCTGTTTCTCTTTATTCTTGCTTCTCATTTTAATAAGTCTTTAACTAGCCATTCGTGTCTCAGAAGAGTGTCCGTCCTGTCTCTACTTTTCCTGACTGACTTCCACAGCT